ACCTTTTTGCAAGGAGTCATGTTTGCATAGACCGCAATACCTGCAGTCATAATACAAACAAAAGAACATAACTCTGATAATGTGCACTGTCCTTGAAGTTGATTGGTCCACACCCGAGACAGCTTTCCTTCGAGCCTAGTCTCATATGGGTTGGACCAGATGACGCCAAAAGGCGCACGCCTTTTGGCGTCATCAGAGTTATGTTCTTTTGTTTGTATTATGACTGCAGGTATTGCGGTCTATGCAAACATGACTCCTTGCAAAAAGGTGTCAGTTTTGTTGCCAGATAGAAGGGTAAAGAACCAATTATCATATTTTTACTGGCAAATGAGGTCCCCATAGTGTAAGTTCAACGTACATACGGTCCAATAGCAGACGAGTTGACGAGAGATGCACAAGCACGTGTCCGTCCATAGACACACACCAAGGTGTACGCATTTCACGGGGACAAATCAGTGTGAAGGAAATTCCACATTCATATGGCAGGATTCAAGTCTCCATAGTGGGCAATGACTGGTCTCATCACAGTGCAGGCTCACCCAGTGGTACACATTGCATCGTGTACCACTGGGTGAGGATCTACATCCATGCACGAACATGAATGAAATTAATCTCCGGGATGCAAAGTACGGATTCACGTTCATTAATTTTGATTATTCTAACACTAAAAGGCACAGGGACTCAAAAAGTAAACAAAGCACGACTCTTGCCAATTTTTCAACAGTGTCTCCCAGTCTGAAAACAGGCTTCTGACTGGGCCCCTAATACTGGTAGGAGCCTCCTGGTTACACCAGCCCACAGGGGATTATTGTGTCCGTCGTGCAGGGAGGGGCTGGGTGGAGAGGGAGGGGCTGGGTGGGGAGGGGCTAGTCACCCCGTGGTGCCCTTATAAAACTCAACGTTTAACATACTCACGCCGGCTTGTGCCCGCCCTCACAGTCGGGCATATTTGAGGAATACACCACGCCGCCGTTGACCCTGGCCATTGACTGAACAACCCAACGTTCCTACCAGCTCCCTCTGCAGGAATGTGTTCCCAAAGATGCTACTTTCGCTACAACTTTGTAAAGAAACTAAAAAGTCAAGAGCGATGGCAATCTGCCACAACGCACCGCTATTGCGGCAATTACCGCGCGCTGGGCATAATGCGGTAACGTACCGGCACTGCATTGGAATTTGAACTCTGTGTCCTTTTAAAAAACAATCGGCAAGTTTGGGCTCGCTACCGTGCCCTTTCCCTGCCTTTTGCATTGCACACCAGCGCAAATCCAATTCACCGCGGCTGTAAAAATCACGCTGATCCACCCTCTTCCCTACGCGTTCAAAACAATATCTTCTTCAATCGACAGAAAGGCCCGGTTGCGTAAAAGCAAAAAATACCAACAGATGCTATTCGCTGCCGAAACTAATTTCAAGTACGTAACAACATCAAAGACTCTCTTTTTACGACAAACATCACACAACCAAACGAAATAAAATAAAAAATCAGCACTATAAGAAAGAGAACACGATAACCGATACAAATTATTCAACATGTGAAACAAGAGGCTCCCTCTATTTTGTTTTTGCAGCCGCGGCGCACACAAATCACGATTTTGCCAATTTGCGAGGACAAGATAAAATCTGACAAACATTTCCTGAAAAAAAAACAAAGCGACTGGGTGGTCTGGTGGTGTGGGATGCTGCCTGATAAGAAGGAAACCTTCTCTCCGCCTCCTTCGGGAACTACAATCGAGAAGTGGCGTTCACTTTTGACGACACGCAAAGCACGCACACGACCGTGACCACTTTGACTGGACATCATCCACAGCTGTTCAACGTCGTTAAATCGGTGTCACCTCCTCTCGTAAGCCACCTTCTGAACATATGCGGTGTCTGTTTTGCCACGAACGCCACAAAGAAATCTGGGTTTCTTTTTCGTAAGAAATCTGTTCAGCGGTAGCAAATTCCAACACCGCAACCCACCGGTAACTCCTCGCACCTCCGATTAGCACGGTTGGCTACGTATGGTGCGAGAGAAGTGCAACATAATACAGACGTACACCTCCAGAATGATGTATCCAAGCCAACACTAACATGTCTTGATATAATGCAATAAGAAGCGAATTGATGCTCCAGTCCCAACTTGCAATACAAATGTGCTTTCTTCATCTGCCGCCTCTGTTGTCGCTATATCTCACCATCGCTGTTTCCTGATCGGTCTATGGTCAGTGCACTTGTGTAGACTATCATTCCTGCCATCTGTCGACCTAAATACCCCTTCTCCATATCGCACTGCGAATTGTTTCCTTGTCAACCTCAAAAAACTTAGCCTCATCCTTCAATGCACGAGCTGCTGAACTCTGGAACTCATCACCTCTCCCTCCTGTCTTTTCACCTGTTCGCAACTTGCAGTCTTTTTCAACTCTCCCAATAACCAAATCATACTTAACCATCTGTGGGATCTGTGCTTCTGACGATGGCCGAGTTCACAATAGGTCAACTTTCAGCTTTGAAAAGGTCGCACTAAAGTTAAGCGTCCCGAGAGCACCGAACGTTATGAAAGCAAAAGGCAAAATGGACGCGCTCTTGCGCCGCACAACAAAATCTTTACAACAAAGCAAACCCGAGGCTCGCGACTAAAACACGAACCCCCTGGCGAAAACAACGCGAGCCGCAACTTTGGCCGATTTTACACTTTTCACGCGCATTTTACCACTCAAAAGCTATCGCCGCTGCCCAAAGCACCACATTGCTTTAGGCCGCTGTGTGCGACGTTCCATCGTGGCATCATGCACACACGAGCGCGGGGCCCCTTTGGCCACAATGGTTGGCGCTACGAGGCTGCTGCTGCTGCCGCTGTTTACATTCTTCTCTCGGCGAGGAGAGGCCCTCTGTGTATAGCGGCCCTTCACCCAGCTGCCTGTGACCTCTGGCTGTCGTTCTCCCCGCCCGCAACCCTTCACAACAAAGCCCGCTACGTCCAAACTTTTACCACCTTAATAGTTGTGCTCACCGACTTCACTTGCGCCACTTTGGAGTTTGATTTTTCGTTATTAAGGAGTCCCATATGTGACGTATATCTCGTTCTCTCCTTCGCCAAGGCGTTTATTCCGCGTGTCTCATCTCCCGTTGGTTTCTGGATCTTTTTGCCGGTTGCTCTGCGGGTCTCTCATCCCTCGTGTGTTTTTTTTTTACTGGTGACAGTGCAATGGGGCCACAGCAGCAGGAAAGCTAAACAAATGTGGAGTCAAAAGTATGACGGCTTTACCAGCTATTTTGTATGTTACATGGCTTGGTGAGCTTCTAGTTTTGGATGAAACCTCGACTAAAATGCTTTAAGGAGAGAGAAAAAAGGCAAATTTACAACGTAGCTCCCACTACAAAATCAGCCAAGTTTAAAAGTTTTTTTTATAGATCCTCAGGCCAAAACAACTGGCTTTACATCAAAGTATTGGCCACAACTTCAAATTTTCTTTTTTGAATGCAAGCAAAAGTTTATTTTTTTCCCTCAACACCATGTGAATTCTCATCAACTTGGGCCAACTAAAACAAATAAATAAATATGTGCTTAGACAGTGGGAGGGAGTTGGGGGGGGGGTCAAAATAAACAGTTCATATTTTAACTGGGCAATGGCCTCCAATGCTCTGCACCGGCACGGCTTAACATTAGGCCGTGCCCTTTGAGTCAAAGAAAATAAAAAGGCTCTGCCGAGCACTTATTATTTCTTTCGCGTTTTAAGTAAGAGAACCTGGCAGCATTCAACGTGTTTTCTACCCCAGCTCCGTCACAGTTACCAGCGCAACACGTCTGCCCGAGATCAAATGGGCCCCAACGGCAGCCTCCAAAACCTCAAAAGCGAGTCGATTTGCTAAGTTTTTTCTTACCGTTTCGGGCCGCAAAAACGTCGGGGATCTGCGGAAAATCTGAAGGCGGCGGAAGTGCCGTTTGCGCCGCCTTCTGAGCGGCGAGTGAAAGCGGACCGGTTTGAAGACAGCGGGCCCCCGGGTTTTACAGATCAGTGTGATACCTAACGTCGCCCATGAACCCCCACACACTCTCATCCAAATCCCACGCGCTTACGGCTCCGGTAAAAGCGTCCAACAGCCGGCTGTATCGCAGAAAACAGAAGACGAGACTGCACAATACACTCTGAAGACACGGGGCACACGCATCGCAAAATGCCGGGACCAAAAAAAAAAAGACTCGTCGCCTTATTTCGAAAGCCAAATTGGGTACAGTCTGTTTCCCACCTTCGCGTGTGACCACTGAACCGGGAGGGGGGGGGTGGCGGTAAATATAAAAGTGCGATGTTTGCACCCCCCACCCCCCTCACAGTCAAAGATTTGATACCTGTGCGCGTCTGGCAAAAATTGTATTTAGGGAATCCACAAAGTGCTTGTTGCCTGCCGTAGTGGAAATTTTTTTTATTTTGAGGAACGTGGCACCACGGTCAAAACCGCGGCGCTCAAAACGACCGGGAAAGCGAGTGCCGAAAACACAGGCCGTCTGCACATGTATCATCCATGATGAAATAATTTGAAGCTAATTAGAGAGTGGGTTCAAATATGTTGGCAAAGTATTCAATATATAATCTTCAAAAGGACGTAACTCAAGCACTGAGGGAGGCGGGAGCCAAGTGCCAATAAGCGTGCGTGCAATGTACACGCACACGCAACAGGGTTGCCCATATCAAAGTTTTCAACTTTAGACCCCACGAGTTTGACTCGAGCAAACTTTACCATTAAGACATTAGGCGACACATTTCCACCGTGCAATGCAAACGGCGCGTGGCATTTACGGTCGACACAACCGCTGCGTCGTTGACTCGGGCGGCCGCTCGTCGGTTCGAACCGTGAACGTCTGCAACGAGTGGCCAACGCACCACCACTCGGCCAGGTCACCATCCCAAGCTGGACACAAGTTACCACGTCAACCACGTCAGGGCTCTCTCCCCGTTGGTGTGCTCGGCGATGCTGGTGGCGCGGACGCGCGACAGGTGTCCCGTGGGTTCACTTACACGCTACTGTCGGTCATGGACATGCTGTCGTCCGTCATGGCGTCGCTCGATATGCTCTGCTCGCTGTCGTTGGCGCTTGTGGCCGGCGCGCAGGTGTGGCCGGCGTTCACGTGGTACGGCGGCACGGGCTTGGACTGCAAGGTCGGGCTGGGAAAGGACGAGGGGCGGGGGGTACAGGAAGCACGCAGAGACACGCACGAACAGGCACACAAACAAACATTTTAAGCAACAGTGTCCACTTTGTTGCGTGAAAAGTTGGGGTTAATGCATGTCAGTGAGCACCTTTTAAAGCCGGAAAGGTATAATATATGGTGGGTGTGACATGACCAGCACTATTTGCATGCCCAGCCAACTTTGTTTTTCCAATGTTGATAAGAGAGCACAAGACGACAGACGGGATATTTATTTCTGGCCCAGTCAACTTAGGAGAAGCACGAGCTAGATTTCTGCACCATTTTCCACTTGTAATACGTGTGGCCAGGCAGTCAACATGTACCCTTCAGAAAAGCACTGTGCATTCGTTATAACCAATACCAATACCCGCCATTCACCACTAAGTGACGGTTACGTCACCACGGTGCTTGTGCCAGGCCAGGTGCACATGCTTTAACACACATTAAAAATGCACACATTAAGACAGGTTTATGGAAGAAAAACATAGTAACGGATAGACAATATATTCGTATTCTTTGGGTCTTTCAGTAAAGCCACGTAGATACAACAAATAAATAAAAATGTCACGACGTTTCGATCGCACCACAAGCAATCGTCATCAGGTGAAAAATTTAGCGAGAGAGAGCTGCTGATAGAGAAAAGTCTAGGAAACAAAATTCCCCCCATAATGTTTTCTCTTCCAATACAATACACTTGTAAATTAAACCAAAGCTTGTGCATATGATGTGTTTAATTAGGGGGTGAAACGATGCTTCGATGAAGATTGATTATTACGCTCACGATGCCTGAAATTGCATTTGTGAGAATCAATGTATTATTATCCAAAAATACACACACAGTATAACCTATACTTAAAGCTTTCGTGACTGCAGGGATTCATCTTCTTGGTTCTTTCGGTAAAGTCACGTAGAAGGGAAGTAATAAAATAATAAAAATAAAACATAATAAAATAATTCTCACGACGTTTCGGCCACAACGCAAGCAGCTGTCCTCAGGTGAAGACCAGGTCTGTCGGGGAGACAGCGTCTGTGGCCGAAACGTCGTGAGAATTATTTTATTATGTTTTATTTTTATTATTTTATTACTTCCCTTCTACGTGACTTTACCGAAAGAACCAAGAAGACAGTATAACCTGTCCCAAGTATTAGAGGTTACTATAATGGTCACTACACATTGCCAGAATGTTAAAAAGAAAAAACATTTGGAATCACACTGGCAATCTGAATCATGAAAATTCGTTGAATTTGCGAGGAGAGCGGGAGGAACTTTAACAACCCCGAGTTTTCATGGAGATATTTACACACAACACTTGTTTTCTTCACGTAAATTCCATTGAGTTATGTTGAACAAATGATGACATGAGGCACGGGGCAGGGACAATTCTCACAGGAAATTCACTAATTGGAAGCATCGGCAAATGAGCAAGGGCGAGGCTGTGAACGCTTCAACGGAAAGTGCGCCGTCTGTCCCTAAAAGGTGCAAATTACTAATCCTAAGGTGCAAATTTGGATGTAAAAATGAACACATCTTCTTTCACACGTTTCAAAACAGAAATATCCTGCGATGAGACAAGCCAATAAACATTGCAAACACACAAATCTGCACACACACACAAAACCTACACGCTCTTTAATTTCGCTGGGGTTATTGCAACTGTCTTTGTGTTAATCTTTTATTCAAAAATCGAAATCTTCATCAAACAAAATAACCCACCCCCCTGTTTTATTGACGGCAAGGCCAAAGAGGTTGTACTTTTGAAATCTGATCGTGTGTGCTGTGTTGTCAAAAGGCAGTCTTCTCTCTAGCCCTCCCCACCTTCCCCCTCTGCAGCTCTCTCCATGGCTACTTAAAAGCCTCCCACCCCCTTTTAAGACCGGAGCTGGATTTGGGGGGAGCTGGATTTGGGGCTGTCCACGCCGCTCGCGCACGGGACGTGAGCCCACATGTGCCACGGCGTGCGCGCCGGGGGCACACCAGCCTTCCGCACTTGCCATCTGGGGTCCTTTGTAGTGTCGGCCCTCTCTACACTTGATGTGCGCAATAAATTAGAACCAACCGTTTTTGGCATGGGGGGGGCACGGGTGAAGGGGGCTAAAGGAGGGCTCCCTGCTGTTTGCAAAGTCAATTTGTAACCACATTACGGGATTGGAAGGTGAGGGGGTGGGTGGGGGTGATGGGAGGGAATATATATTTAAATATAAAAGGGGGGAGGGTGGAAACAGTAAGGTATTTGAAGACATGGCAATTAACTAAAACGGTGCCCTCTTAAAAGTCATAAACCGCACTAAGCTTGGGAGAGAGTCCGCAGGGCTTTGATCAGTTTTTTTAAGGCCAGCAATCAGCTTACGCTGTAACTTTTAGCGGAGTGAGGATGAGAGCAGCCACAGCCATAAATCTGATGGTTATCAGTCGACTTGCAGGCCAGGTTTGTGCGGGCACACAACAAAGGCCCTTTTTGTTTTGCCCTCGCTCTGCGGTGTTCCTTTAGGATCGTCACGTACAAAGTCTGACATGCACCACCACGTGTAAGTTTTCTCCAAAGATTTACATTGTGCTTCGGCGGAACTGACCGCGCTATCTTGGCACGCATCTCTCCAAAACAACATTTTACCAGCGTCAATAGAAAATATCATTTACTGCTCAAATCACCAGCCCCCTTGGAAGACTTTGTTTTTTGCATCTTCACTGCGGTACATTTCCACGGCACATGATGAAATCGTTGTGTATAGTTTAGAATAGAAATAAAAATGTGTTTTTCATTTTGGCCAAGCCTCCCGTTTTTTTTGTTTAAATAAACAGTTTCCCTTTGAAGTCATTGAGAAAACCCGGACCCTATTGTAAACAATGCAGTCCAGATGTAAGATACAGGCATAAATGGGCAGAGCCACACAAACAGATCTCAGTATCAGTAATAGATGAACATTTTAATTATTTTAAATCAAAAGGTCAAATACATTTTTCAAAGCCAAAGAGTCCCAACTGTTGATTTACCACCAAATGGTGCAGTCTTGTGAGGTGGTATTGATTTTACAAACCCACATTGGGGTTGATGATGGTACTAATTAAAACCCCGGCTTAATGTTTTATCAATAATATCCCACACAATGTTTCAAATCAAGATGAATTACTGGTCTCCTTCACTGCCCCGACGACTGGTACAAAGCCTGCATTCTCAAGCGCCGGCTGTGTGGCACATGCAATATTTATCTTTAACGGCGTTACATCACTTTCTTTCTTATGGACTTATAAATAAATAAATGGACGATCTTGCAAAGAGATAAAAGGCTTGGAGTCTGCAGGACATTCTATTTTACAAATACAATCCCAAAATGTAAATGCGAGCAAACAGAGACTCTACTGGAGTTAATTGGATTTAAAATAAAAGCATCTCGCAGGTGCCTTGCACATCTCTCTGACTCTCACCCCGCTCCTCATCCAACTCTGCACACCTTTCGATTTAAAGCTTTCGTGACTGCAGGGATTCATCTTCTTGGTTCTTTCGGTAAAATCACGTGACTTTACCGAAAGAACCAAGAAGATCTGCACACCTTAGCATTGACTAGCACCATCAAGCGAGAATGGACTCTCTCCGTTCCCTTTTTTCAAGTGTCAGCCACTCTACGCCAGCACAAGTCGTGTTCGGGCCCTTCTGCCTACGTGCGGAGCCAAAGATCAACGCGGTTACCTCCTCCCCATGAAACAAATAAAAGAAGAGAAGGGAGGGAACGGGAAAAAAATAGGAAGAAAAAAAAACACACAGCACCACGAGTTCAGAGTGACCGGCACACATACACGAAAAACAAATTTCTAGTTTGATCATTGTTGATTTTTTGTTATGCTTGATCCAGCAGCGGCAGCAGCATCTGCAGGCAAAGCTGCTGTGGCCCCACATTGAGAGGCAGAGGCATTGTTGTTGTGGTTTTTTTTTCCCGGAAAGCCCATCTACAAAGGGACCCCCCCCTCCTAGCCTGAGCGAACGTCGCTGAGAAGGACCCACCTTGCCGCGGCAGTGTCACTTTTATTGGTTTTCATGTCGTGATGGCATTTCTGCTCCTTTTGCACGCTCCTCTCACTCCCTACTGGCTCAAGGGCGCCTCCCCCCCTCCCTTCCGCCCACATCCCAGGGCCACGTTATGGCCTTTGGTTTGGCCCTCTCAGCTCAGCTGCCCACTTTCCGTAACAGCCACTCATGAAGAGTCACAGAAAGAAAAAGGTGAACCGTGGACAGCATTATCGTGGAGAGCTCCTGCAAGCCAGCGCTTTGGCGGCAGAATTGACGGATCATGCAGAGATGGCGTGCTGCAAAACTGCGAAGCGGCGGCTTGGCTTTGGCATTAGAGCAAATGAGTTTTTGACATTTCTACATGGACATTTGAGTGTTATCACCTCATATACACATGTTTTCTCTGGTTGCTCTGCTTTTATCCCATAGGCTACACTAAAAAACGCACTGAGAGGAATTGGGTCAAACATCCCAATGCAAGACTCCCGAAGACAAAAAAAGGGTCTCAAGACTCAAGCGAGGCTCCCTGGGTTAAAGGCTATCGCCATGATTACTTTCAAAAGGTAGTCACGCCTGAATCTTGCATGAGGTAGTGATTTTCCAACCTCCTTCGACTCCCCCAACTCTCGACGCCGATTTATACGACGGCCGCCACCCCACACCCCAAGGACCCTGAACCTCACCAGAAAAAAAAGTGACCGCATGGGTGCGTGCTTTTTATCCTTTTAGTTTTGTTTACCGCCTTTCATTGCGCAGCCAGCCCACAGCAGCCGCAGTGAATGCAAAGCAACACAACCCGAGCGTGGTAAAAGCAGGGCTTTAAAAATGAATTACTCTCGCATTCCCTTTCACGAGAGCCATGCTGGTAGACTAGAATATTCACAAAATTAAAGGCACCATCATGAATAAAAAACAGACGGGGGTGGGGGGGGGGAAGGCTTGCTGCCAGAAAAGATAAGAGTGATAAGATGACATCTCTGCATGTCAGGGGCTGCCATGCTGCTTTGGGATGCTCTGTGGATGCACGGAGTTTAAGAACACCAAGGCACACACCCGTTTTGAGGCTTCAGGGACAAAAACGGGCCCTTGAGGGTTGGCAAATTCAATTCCCTTACGAGAAACAGATGTAGCGCTAAAATTTGTACGGTATTAGTTAAGAGGCGAGCATTTCCATTGCGTCATAGCAAAGTTCTCCAGATCCTAATCAAAAACAAAAAAATTACTCTAGCGCCGCTATTATGGCCAGCGGACCGTGATGATATTTGGACCCCCCTATAATATAAAGCATGAGATTTTAATCTCACATCTGAAAACTGCTGCAGAGCTGTGCACTGCCACATATCACATTCTACTTTTTTCACTTTTGAAAAAGGAAAATTAACTCCAGGAGCCCCCCGCTGTTTTAACGTCTCCAAATTCCAGGTTGAAAGGAGCGTAATTCAAGAATACAACGTTGGAACTTAAAAAGGAGCTATTTTTATGCCACTACACTTCCCTAACCTCGGTCTCAAACTCCCCCCTGGCTTTCCTGGTTCACACTGCTCCAACAAAGTATGGTGCAGCATCAACCAGCAGCGAGTTACAGCGCTCGCAGAATTACTGGCTCCCACGTGGGGACGAAAGCTGATATTCCCCAAAAGGCAGCCATAAACAAGCAATAAGTGCTACTCTCAAATGGTGCTGGCCTGTTGCAAACAATCTCGGCGAGCGTAGGAGAACTATGCAGACTGAAACATTACGATTTCTCTCTTGGCTCTCTTTGTATTCTGGTTTTGTGGGAATCTTTGTTCAACAGCCAAGTTGGGCACTATCCTTTCGAGCGCTTTTCTGCGAGGCAGGAAAACCGTGGGGGTTTTTTTTTTACACTTTGGAATACGTTCCCGCATCGCTATGCTTGCGCTGAAGCCGAGGGAGCTCTGCTACTGCGGCATGTTAGTGCAAGTTTTAGGCACGCTTAGAGGAGAAAGGTTGAGAGGGGTGGAGGGGGCGGTAAAGAGAGGCAAAAACTTGGCTGGCACTACCTGGCGATTACTGGAAAAAATGTTAATACTTTAATGAAAGTTGGCTGCAGCATCAGTATTATTTTGGCCATGCTATAAATGAGAAGGAAAAAAATTACTAAGACACCAAGGTCAACACTTTGAGCGAGCAGCCCTGACCAGGCCCCTGGCCAACACACAAGGAGAAAATTAACACCACAAGATGCTGAAGCTAGCACGGGATGAGACTAATTTCCACTTAGGACCCAAATTAATGGTAGAAATTCCTCATTATATTGCTGGGTGGGACACAGATTGAAGAAACTTGCCCATTGTTTCAACTACTATGCCAGGAGATCGAAAGGGCGATCCTCTGAATTACAAATCCAATGTGCTAACCATTCCATCACGGCAGGATATGGATGAGGTGCGTTGTGTTGATAGAAAAAAAATCCATATAACCACATACATACATACGTGCCACTCGTACACTTTACCCAACACACGACAACACACAGCAACAACGTCGTGATTCACTTTAGCTACAAGTGGCCCAAGTGTGGGAGAACACTCACTAGTACTCTTTGGCGTCATTCTCGGGCTCCCAGGTGGCCATCAGTAGCTTGTTTCCCAGCTCGCTGGCAAGCGCCAACGCGTCGAAGGGCTCGCCCATCAGGAGCAGCCCGGCCTCGGCGCCCCGCCACTCTTCATCCTCGTTGAGGGTGGGAAGGTATCCGACGGGCATGCCCGCGCTGCACGACCCGGAGCCCGAGCCGGAACCCTGCTCGCCGCCCTTCTGCTGCTGCAACTGCTGTTGCTGCAGCTGCTGTCCGGGGCTGGCCTCACCACAGCAGCCGGCAGCACGGGCATACTCCAGGTAGAGTTCGGACTTGAGGAATGCCGGGTAGCTGTTCTCCTCCATCTGCTGCTGGATTTCGAGCTGGGCCTGGTCAAAGACGGTGGGGTCCGCCACGCCGCGCGCCAGCACGCAGTCGCGCACGTACGCACGCGTGGCGGCCTTCAAGTGCGCCGCCACCACGCCGGCCGTGTCGCTCACGTAGCGCTTGTAGATGAGGCGCGCCGCCTTGCCCATCTTATTGGCGAGCAGGTTGCGGAAGCCGTTGCATGCGAACCAGAAGTCCAGCATGTCGGGCAGCTCCTCCTGCTCCAGGAAGGTGCGGAAGAGGTGCGTGCCGTCGCGGTCGTCCAGAAGCGAATGCAGCGACTCGCCCCAGCGCACATACGGCGGCGTGGGCGACGCGCTGCCCTCGGGCTCGTAACCCAGGTCATAGTCGGCCCTGCGTGGCGTGGCGGTGGTCGCCTCGCCCTTCAAGGCATCCCCCTTGGCCACGTAAGGGCTCTGGTTCTGGCCAGCGCGGGCCGCGGCCTTGCTCACGTCCACTTGGTCCTCCTCGCCCGGCACCGGGGGCCTCGGCGTGTCCTCCATGAAGTTGCCCTCGGCGTCCAGGAGGTACGTCGTAACATCCAGGTTCTTCGCTTTTATATCCATGGCTGGGATCGCGCGGGCGCGCGTCCTGAGCTCTGTCTTTGATTTAGGTGGCTAGAAAGCGGCGAGGCGGGCAGGGGGTGGGGAGATTCAGGCTACACGACGAGCGTTGTGGACGCTCTGCCTGTGAACAAAAAAGCAGACACAAGCGCCTGTCAGATATTGTACCAAAACAGACAAGAGCAGCACTAAGGCAACTTCGAAAAATGTACACAAAGCACCTAACTCAACAACTGGCTATTGATGGTCATACAAATGGGGCCTTTCTTTGGAACAACAATTTCGTACCAATTTAGTGTGGGGATTATTTTGAGCTCCAAGCTGCGCATTGCTTCCTGTTGCAGGAATGAGGGGGCGTCTCACCGAAACAGATGAGGACCATCCCAAGGTCCTGTTGCGTACATGGGCACACTTCTGACCTTGACAAACGCGGTGTACCAATCATCGCGCGACTTAAACGGCACTTATGTTGAAGCAAATTCAGCAAATTGACACAGAAATTAGATTCCAGTATCCGCAAGAACCGAGTGACCTGTTCCCAAATCGTTTCATTAGGCCATCATGTGATGCCCCGTGTGCAAAAATGCCTTGGTGTATAATCTAGAAAATCAAAGCATTTTCTCAGCTCCAAAAAGCAATGGGAGTTGTTCTCATCCACCACATCAGTGGCAGTCCCACACGCCAGTGGTGGAAATTCTGTGATACTTAAGGCAGGGGTTAGTTCGCCTTTCCATAGGGCAACCACCGATGGCTTCTCACAAGATGGAACATATAGGCTGCAGCCGAGACATCCAAATGCACGTGGCTTGAAGCTCAACTTCACGGCGGGTCAATCGTGTATCGCACACACTCCTACTTTGAAAAGTCGACACAAGGAAACCATATGAAGAGAATAAGTAATTTGTGCTGTGCGTTTAAGCACGCGTTAGTTTTCATAGCGCACAAAAGGCAATGCATTTGCCTCTTTACAGTTCAAGGAAACAGGTTATTTTTTAGGGGGCAACCCCTTCAAGTTTTGAGACAATCCACGGTGCAGCCCATACAGGGACCAACAATAACACACTTGAAGCACATAACAATGTTGTTATAAAGGAATAACGTAATAACAAACTTGAGTTCTAGGAATATGCGCATTGAGTACTGACAGTGGGGTCTCGGGCATGCTCACGCCTCTAGCAGAAACACTCAAGGGTGTAGAGAATCTCTCAGCAACTGCTCAAGTGTCATACAAACCATGCACACGTTACAGCAGCATAGAATCACAGTGTGGTGCAATTTCATCCCAGAAACGTACACAAATGCACATGATAAAGACAGTACCGTACACACACATAGCACATAGCTACAAAGACAAAGACACTTGAGTTTCACAGGACACACTGCACAAACACAATATTCTCTATGCATTAATACACACACACGTACATAACACATTTAGCACATTCTTATTAAGACTGCTTGGGGAGTAATTTGTGAGCCTCTATGTACGGACTGGCCATACATAACACAAGGCTGGGAGGCGCGGAAAGGCGTTTGTAGTTTAAACAAAACACCAAAATATATCACAGTGTATTACATAACACAATACGAACACACACACACGTGTATACTTGATATGAGTGTGTGTGTGTTTGGACTCAGAGATCTGAACACAATGCCTGCACACAACCAGGCCACAAGTCGACACAGCAATAACACAGACCTAATGCGCACACACACACACACACAGCGCATAACACCCACACACAACGCACATACACTGTGATAGCACGTACACACACACACACCGCATAATACACACACACAACGCACATACACTGTGACAGCACGTACACACACACACAGCGCATAATACACACACACAACGCACATACACTGTGACAGCACGTACACACACACACAGCGCATAACACACACACAACGCACATACACTGTGACAGCACGTACACACACACACAGCGCATAATACACACACACACAACGCACATACACTGTGACAGCACGTACACACACACAGCGCATAATACACACACACAACGCACATACACTGTGACAGCACGTACACACACACACAGCGCATAATACACACACACAACGCACATACACTGTGACAGCACGTACACACACACACAGCGCATAATACACACACACACAACGCACATACACTGTGACAGCACGTACACACACACACACCGCATAATACACACACACAACGCACATACACTGTGACAGCACGTACACACACACACAGCGCATAATACACACACACAACGCACATACACTGTGACAGCACGTACACACACACACACCGCATAACACACACACACAACGCACATACACTGTGACAGCACGTACACACACACACAGCGCATAATACACACACACAACGCACATACACTGTGACAGCACGTACACACACACACACAGCGCATAATACACACACACAACGCACATACACTGTGACAGCACGTACACACACACACACGTGCATGCATAATGTATCTAGCAACAAACACTTATACACACATAGCCACACTGTACATACAGCGACAAAGATCCCCCGTATAGCCTTAACAAACTGTAGGGTCAAGTGCTGTTAGCGAACACCTATTAAGGCCGGCACAGCACACGAGGGGGTGGGTGTCCAGCACCACGCCCGGCCGCCTTTGTCTCCCCAGTGGCGATGTTGACACGTCACACCGGCTACTCATTTGAGGCCGAGTCGACCTAGGAGAAACCCAGACCAGGTTCGAGATAATAGTCACTGGTGATGGTTGCTGTGAGCTGGAATAGAACTCGGGTTCGACCAGGCTCGTAGCACATCGTGCTAACCACTACACTGCCGCTCCCCCCCCCCATGCCTGTACACACACGTGGAGACACGTGGAGACTTCTTGCTACCCCCCCCCCCACGTGTCTCCACGACATCTCTCCCCGTGTCTACACGTCTACATTTGCCTAGGACACACAACAACAACAACATTATCTTCATCTTCATCATCATCACAGGCAGCCTCACTAGGCCCCGGCTCCGCCAGGCTTAGATCACGACAGGGCTGACACGGCACTGCTGTCTGTGTGTGTGTCTGTGTGTGTGTCTGTGTACACATCGTGTGTGTGTGTATGTGTGTGCACATCGTGTGTGTGTGTCTGTGTGTGTCTGTGTGCATCGTGTGTGTGTCTGTGTGTGTGTGTCTGTGTACACATCGTGTGTGTGTGTCTGTGTGTGCACATCGTGTGTGTGTGTCTGTGTGCATCGTGTGTGTGTGTGCATCGTGTGTGTGTGTGTACACATCGTGTGTGTGTGTGTCCACATCGTGTGTGTGTGTACACATCGTGTGTGTGTGTGTGTACACATCGTGTGTGTGTGTGCATCGTGTGTGTGTGTGTACACATCGTGTGTGTCTGTGTACACATCGTGTGTGTCTGTGTACACATCGTGTGTGTGTGTCTGTGTGTGCACATCGTGTGTGTGTGTCTGTGTGCATCGTGTGTGTGTGTGCATCGTGTGTGTGTGTGTGTACACATCGTGTGTGTGTGTGTCCACATCGTGTGTGTGTGTGTGTACACATCGTGTGTGTGTGTGCATCGTGTGTGTGTGTACACATCGTGTGTGTGTGTACACATCGTGTGTGCATCGTGTGTGTGTGTACACATCGTGTGTGTGTGTAGATGTGCCTGGGTTGTGTACAGCAACTGTGTGTGTGGACGAGTTGTGTGAGGTTGGGGGTGTAACAATGCGAATGCAGTTGTAGGTACGTGTTCGTGTGTGTCTGTGTGCGGTCTTAAGATCCTAGTTGGATGTGCTGTGTAAAAATGCGTAATGTTTATGCATGCGTCAAGAGCATAATGTGTACATGTGTTTGTATGCTTATGACCTGTGCGTGTGTTTGAATGGATGTGTATTGTATGGACTATTATGCCACTCGTGTATATGTGCATGTATCTGTGAATGTTGTGTATTTCACGTGTCTGCATTTGTCATATATAGAGCACACACACACGTGTGTGTGTGTGTGTACATCGTGTGCGTGTGTCTGTGTGTACATCGTGTGTGTACATCGTGTGTGTGTCTGTGTGTACATCGTGTGTGTGTACATCGTGTGTGTCTGTGTGTACCCACATCGTGTGAACACACACACACGTGCGTGTGTGTGTGTGTACATCGTGTGTGTACATCGTGTGTGTGTGTCTGTGTGTACATCGTGTGTGTGTACATCGTGTGTGTCTGTGTGTACATCGTGTGTGTGTGCATCGTGTGTGTGTACATCGTGTGTGTCTGTGTGTACATCGTGTGTGTGTGTGCATCGTGTGTGTGTACATCGTGTGTGTCTGTGTGTACATCGTGTGTGTGTGTCTGTGTGTACACACATCGTGTGAACACACAGACACACACGTGCGTGTGCTAAGCAGCACTGTACCACGTGTACAGTGCCCTATAAGTCTTTGGCAAGCATAATCACTGCAGTTCATTGAAACATTAACACACTACTATTTGAAACATTCACAATAGTAGAAGCATTATACAATAACATTGTATGTTAGGCTATGCTGTTGAAAAGGCCGACGCACAATGTCCATTGCTCAACTACCACAATACATAACATTGTATTTACAATACTGTGCCTTTCAGATCAATCATATCACATCGTACGTAGTCGTACAATAAATACCTTGCGTACAAAATACACGACACCGTGCATATATCGATCTGGCTTTCAAAGCTCACCCGGCGTGCGAAATCGATGAGGGTGTGTGGATGATGGGATAAGTCGATCACAAGGGGGGGGGGGGGGGGCATCATCATCATCCATCAGCAGCAGCAATACAACAGCAGGGTAACTACTAACACACCAACACCACCTTATTGTGTGCGATCTGTGGCTACTATACCCTGGTGTGTGTATTGAATGTGCAACATTAGAAAACATGGGACGACGACGACGATGATGATGATAGCAAGCACCATGATAAACACACAACGTGTACACCTACACATCAAGTTGCACACTAAACTCGTGTGTGAAGTTACACGTGGAATAACAAAGCTCTCGTGTGTGTTAGTAGATCTTCGTGCAAAAAACTATTGGAACTGTCGTCCCACACCGGTACATACATGCACACACACACACACCATGGCATGCACGTGTACACCATTGGTTATAGATGCACGTGCATCACATTGCACGGTATGTGTCAAAGCACAGCACATCCACGTGTTCACTGTTGAAGCTCACAGCACATTACTGCACCGTATGTACATGCAACTTGTCATAGACTACGACCGGCACGATGTACTCTGGCATATATCCCAGTATTGCATGGTGTGTATTGCTTACATATGAACACGATATGATGTAGTGCAGTAGCACAATATAATACTGTAGTCGTGTACAGCCACTTTGCCAATCACTCCCCCCCCCCAAGCAGACATGGACCAGCGTGGTGAAGTATGGTCAAACAACCACATCACAAGGCATACCCATGAACAATACGACATGTGCATACTTGGGGGACACTGTGCACTTCAAATAGCACGGAGGTATTTGCAAAAGACATACGTCTGTACCACACTGTTAAGAGTCAAGAAGACACGTTTGGGACAGACTACATAGCACAAAGACACCCACACACACGTGTAAAAATGATACTAAAAGCTTGTACAACACAAGATGAACACACATGTACACAAAGCATCACGTAAATAGTGGTACACAGTGCACCCCCACGTGTGCACACACACAAGGACACATTCGAGCACTGTACAGACAACCTTTGTATGTACTGCAGTAAGCATTGTGCCTCAATGGATTATGAAGCAGTTATAATAATTACTAGTTGTATAACATTACTCTAATACAACACGTGCAACCAAGGGTTTGTCTATACTGTAGCAGTAGTAGTAATGTTATACTCAGCACGGCACAGCAAGCACTGTACAACCATGTGGCCTCAATGCATAGTGTTGGTATCCTTACTAATACTTTTAAGATATATGAATGATATTAGTAGGAATACACACACAGAATCTAATAACCTATAGAAAACACACGGTGCACATGGGGTGCACAGACGGCACATGCATTACCCACATAAATACGCAAGCCCCCGGCTATTGTAACCACTAAACTCAACACATGGATACCCTTAAGGGCAGCATGTTATATACAATGTAATAATGAAATGCACAGTTAACACACACGTGTGTACACACGTGTACACACGTGTGTGTGCACCAGCAAGCAATGTGCAACTCCACGTGTACCATCACGTTCCGGGCAATGCCGCTGCTGCTGATGATAGAATGAGAGAATCGTGATGGTACAGAAGTAGTAGCCCCGAACGGCTCCAACAACATCTCTGCTAATCAACACGAACGTACGATTCACGTGTGTGTGTGTACACGTGTGTGTGTGTACACGCGTGTGTGTGTGTACACGTGTGTGTGTACACACGTGTGTGTGTACACACGTGTGTGTGTGTTGTGTGTGCACACGTGTGTGTGTGTGTACACGCGTGTGTGTGTGTACACGTGTGTGTGTACACGCGTGTGTGTGTACACACGTGTGTGTGTGTTGTGTGTGCACACGTGTGTGTGTGTGTACACGCGTGTGTGTGTGTACACGTGTGTGTGTGTAAACGCGTGTGTGTGCACGTGTGTGTGTGTGTGCACACGTGTGTGTGTGTACACGTGTGTGTGTGTGCACGTGTGTGTGTGTGTGTGCACGTGTGTGTGTACACGCGTGTGTGTGTACACGCGTGTGTGTGTACACGCGTGTGTGTGTGTACTGTTGTGTGTGTAAACACACACAACAGTACAAGAGACACGGAGGGATGAACGTGTACGCACATTGACACACGTGTACCCACAACGACACACGTGTAACCCACGACGACACACGTGTACCCACGACGACACACACGTGTACCCACGACGACACACACGTGTACCCACAACGACACACGTGTACCCACAACGACACACGTATATCCACGACACACGTGTACCCACGACGACACACGTGTACCCACGACACACACGTGTAACCCACGACGACACACGTGTAACCCACAACGACACACGTGTACCCACACACGTGTAACCCACAACGACACACGTGTACCCACACACGTGTAACCCACGACGACACACGTGTACCCACACACGTGTAACCCACGACGACACACGTGTACCCAAGTGTTCAGAACTCACGTGCTTCCCCACAGCAGCAGCAGCTCCTTTTGTGCCGCATTTCTCCGCTACAGCTTCGCCTCTGGCGCGCTCCTCCGCACGGCGAAGACGGTCGAGGTTGGACGGACACGGAACGAAACAACAACAACGACGATGATGACTTGTTTGGTTTAGCTTGTCGTCCTCATCGTTGTGGTTGTTGTTGTTGTTGCAAGCCGTCGTTCCACCGACCACAACCAGCACCACCACCACTCTGTGTCTATCTACAGCAGACGGGACACTGAACTCGCTACCAGACGCCCCCCGTCTGCAATGCGCTACGAGTCACACGCAAATCGATCTTCGTGTGTTCCCCGTCTATCGACAGAGAGACAGACAGACAGAGTGAGAGAGACACAGACAGAGACACAGAGACACAGAGAGAGAGAGACAGAGAGAGACAGAGACCGAGAGAGTCTCTTCCCCCGCCGCGTGCTTTGCGCCTCGCTCCGTTCAGCAGTCGCCACTCGGTCGGTGTGGACCGTGCGGGGTGGGGGTAGTGGGGGGTAGTGGGGGGTAGTGGGTGGGGGTAGTGGGGGGTGGTGGGGTGGGGGCCACAGCCCCCAACATCAAAGGCAAACGGCGGCGCTCCAATGCGCGCGCGCGCACAAAAGCCGGTGGGAGGGGGTGGCGCGCGCGCGCGGGCTTCAGGGGAGGGGGTGGGGCTAGGGATAAGGGGAGGGGCTATGGGTAAGAGGGGGCTGTGGGTAAGGGGGGGGCTATGGGTCAGGGGGGGACTATGGGTCAGGGGGGGGGGCTATGGGTCAGGGGGGGGGGCTATGGGTCAGGGGGGGGCTGTGGGTAAGGGGGGGCTATGGGTCAGGGGGGGGGCTATGGGTAAGGGGGGGGCTATGAGTCAGGGGGGGGCTATGGGTCAGGGGGGGCTATGGGTCAGGGGGGGCTATGGGTCAGGGGGGGGCTATGGGTCGGGGGGGGGCTATGGGTAAGAGGGGGCTGTGGGTAAGGTATGGGTAAGAGGGGGCTGTGGGTAAGGTGGGGGGGCTGTGGGTCAGGGGGGGGCTATGGGTCAGGGGGGTGCTATGAGTCAGGGGGGCTATGGGTCAGGGGGGGCTATGGGTCAGGGGGGGCTATGGGCCAGGGGGGGGGCTATGGGTAAGGAGGGGGGGCTGTGGGTAGGGGGGGCTGTGGGTAAGGGGGGGTATTTTCGAGAAGAAAAAAAAGTCTAAATAAATAAATGCTATTTATATTTAAACCGAATTCATATTTTTTCTTCACGTTAAAGTCACTTCCACAAACCTTTACCACTTAAGTCGCACGAGACCCAACCGACCTCGTGGTCTGCTGGTACACAATCGAGACGAGTGACCTGACAATACAGCTCCCAAATTTGTGACCCACCCACCCCCACCACCCCCAAAAAAAAGAAAAATGCCACAAATAAAATCAGTCAACGCCACTCACGCCGCCCATCACTGGGAACTACAAAGCGCAAGGCGCGCGTGTTTGTCGCGTTTAAAAATAACGTCACCGCCGTTCTGTGAACTCTCCCTCCTCTCAAAGAGCCACCCCCCCGCGCCCACCGCTGCCTCGAATCGAACCCTCTCCTCCCTCTCCTCGCTCCTCCTTTGTGTGGATGGCGGACACGAGAAGAACGACAGCGAGCGAGCGAGCAAACAGCGGCGTGGGGAGATCAGAAAGCAACAGCAGCAGCAGCAGCGGCATCGGCGGCGCTTGAAGAGGAGCCTTCAGACCTCGCCGCTCCCACTCGCAGCAGCAAAGTTGGAAGAGCATAAGCCGCATTGAGCGAGCCGCGCCAATAGACGCAAGTGTTACTGATTCCTCCTCCTCCTCCCCCCCCACAACCACCACCGCTCCTCCCCTAACCAAGCAACCACCACCAGCACCACTCCTGTGGTTTTGTCCGTGTGTGTGTCTGTGTCCCCCGTCCTCTGCTCCGCCTTTCCCACAAAACACCCCACCACCACTACCACCACCCCATTGCTATCTCCCAACCCGTGTCGAGGTTGTGCTATGCGTAGCCAATTGCCAGTCGTCTTCTTGTTGTGTGTCTGTCTGTGTGTCCTTTGTGTGCGCGTGTGTGGCCTGTGTGTGTGTGTGTTTTTAAAATGTTCGCCCTCTGGCGGATAACACGTGCATGTGTGAAGTTTTGAGATCAAATGGATGATATTTGCACCCACCCCCCCTTCCATCCAGTGGCTTGTGTAAGGTGGTGTGTTTGTTTGATGCTAACGCTATTTTTTTTATTTTAGCAGGTAAGGCACGCTGAGCTATATAGCTCATTTTTCAGAAGCGACCTGGTCACAAATGATAGCTCAAGTGGCTTTTCATGTGGAACTATTTAGTAGGCTGATACTCCAAACGCATGTTTCTAAACAACACCAAAATATATTTTGTACAACATTTGTTTTGTATACCAAGTGGATATATCAATATATACACACACCAAGACAAATGTATATTAAATTTCGATTTAAAGCTTTCGTGACTGCAGGGATTCATCTTCTTGGTTCTTTCGGTAAAATCACGTAGAAGGGAAGTAATAAAATAATACAAATTAAACATAATAATTATTATGTTTTATTTTCAATTATTACGTTTTATTTTTATTATTTCCCTTCTACGTGACTTTACCGAAAGAACCAAGAATATTAAATGTATATTATTTTACGCACAATGTGTTTTGCTTGCGTGTGTAAGTTGAAAAGGTGCACCTAACCTGGCACAAGCGCCGCGGTGAGGTCAGAAACTGCCGTTATTATTAACGTGAAAACGTGAGTGTGGATTTGCGAATTGTGTGTTCCCCAAAGGTGTGAACACGTGTGTGGGTGTAGATTCTAGAGGGATTGTGTTCTTCCCATGCTCTTTGTGTACATGGCGCGTTGCCTGACACACACATTGTACGTGATGTGTCCACGATTGTGTGAGCACGTGTGGGTGACTGTGTGTGATGTTGGACATTGTACAATAATTGGACAAGGCACGCTGCTGTTGTGTATTCGTGTTGTGCAGGTTGTCACGTTTCTGTACGTGTTCAAGACCGAATGTAAGTTCATTTTCCGACACGTGTAAACGTGTGTGCAAGCGTATGTGCCCTGATTCTGATATGGCCTGCATGTGTCTGGACATGCTTTTCTGTGCGCGGATAATTGACGTGGAGGGAAATAACAAAAATTGCAAATATTTTAAAATTAACTGGTAGTACAAACAATGTGGGCCTTATTGTCGAATGTTTTCTTTTCTAAATCGCAGTGCAGTATTACAATAACACGTAGGCTTTCTCGACCAATATTATCCGTATTAGAGATGTTTGAGTTAGATCCCGTAAACTAAAATGTGGGTTTACTCTCCATCACACCGGTGTACTGCATGAGTCACGAATTGGCATGTAATGTTCACGTGACAAACCTTACCGATTGGCTGTGTCGGGTGGTGGCGGATTTAACGACACATTTTTTTTTTACCTTTACGCGGTCTAACCCCAAAAAACCTCCATTATGGATAGTATTAAAATAATAGTGCACAACCTTTTGTTGCAGGTCGATTATTTGACCATACTTCACCACGCTGGTCAATGCACAGTGTTGGTGAAGGCGCGTGTGGGTCAATGCTGCTCCTATCTAAACCGGCTTCTGAGATAGTGTCCCCAAAGTGCGGCGATGCTACTAAGATCCTCCAATACGGCACTGTTTTGAAAAACAGGGCCATCGTGTCTTCTCTCTAACGTACATTTGGCATGACAATTGTTCGAATCGGCTGGGCAGTGCCGATGAGTCTCAACTCCCAAGCGCCAATCAATCCCACTTGTAAAACACACGCCCCCCCCCCTCCCCCCCCACACACACTCTCTCGTGTGATCCACACAAAGATATTTTGGGGGCAAAAAACCTCGGACCCCTGAGGTTGGTGGTGACTTGTGTAACACGAACAAGAGCTGACATGCTGCGAATCCCATTGAAAGGCAAGTCTGGGGTTCCCATGCGAGCACGCCAGCCCTCCTCTGTGTTCTGTAGCCAGACGGAGGCATATGCAAATGACGCTTTATATTTAATCAAATTGTGATCCCATTCATTCGTAGGCATTGATTGCGTGCGGGCCTCACTTCGCACACTGCAGTTGTAGTTGTTCGAAGGCACTGCCCCCTCGCAAGACAGACCGATGTAGCGATAATCTGCGCAAGATACGTGTGGATACAACGAGTATGGTCGAACAATAAGTATTGTATACGCGTATGCGCAAAAGAAAATGCAGGCAAGTGTCAACAGCATTGCCATTGCAACGCTTGCAAAATACTGTAGTGGCGCGTACATGCGAATAGCAATACCGGTGCAAGTATATACGAAATACAGACAAGTACTGTATGCAAAGTACGCTATTTTCGCTGTAACTATTCTTGCACTAAGTGTGTCTGCACTACCTAACCTAAGTGCACAGGAAGCCTCCTTCCACACATTTGACTGATCGGAGGCGCATGATGCAGTATGGCTGGCTTGCAACATAAGATATACACGTTTGAACCAAGTACAGAAGTTCAAAGTGTTCAATGTTGACACACAGGGTATTCAGAATCGGAATCTGTATTGATCTTGGAGATATCCGATGAGCTATGAAGTGTCTTCCCGGTGTAGAGGGGGAAACAATACTCAGTAAACATGCAACATTGGCATGTGGTTGGAACAACGTTCACTGTTTATTGGGATATGTATGGTGTGGTTGGCGTACGTAAGTTGTCGGACTGAACAATGAACTACAGTTCTGTCGGGTTGGCAGTGGATTTTACATTCACCCATCGGCTATAAAACGCACCCCCCCCTCCCACACCCGCGGGTCAATATTTACACATTGTTAGTGGCTTCTTCTTTTCCTTTTATCACTTTCTGATTAAAATGACAATCTCAATCAAAGGGAACGGCGGGGAGTGGGGAGGGGGTGTGTGTGTGTATCGCTTGCTGGAGAAACTGGGGTTGTTTGTGCGATGCCGTATAAAATATGTGCAAATACTTTGGGCCACTTTGGTGGAAAGAAAGAAAGAAAGAGTCTGTACCTCCACCCACCCACTGCTATCCCCTACAATGTGAATAAATAATAATAAAAAAATAAGCACCTTAAGAGTTACACGTAAGTCGAACTTTCATCGCGAGATGTCTGGATCCACCCCCCACCCCCCGCCGGAGTGCCGTAAAAAAGTCCTCTCTGGCTTGCAACACGGGGCATTGTCGGCGAAATGCAGGCGCTCGCGATACGATCTCCCGGGTTTGTTAGCCTTTGATCAGACCGGCGTATGCGTACGTGTCGCTTATTAAATACAACCGAAATAACAGGGCGTTTGCGTTGCGTTCTGTGTGTGTGTGGGTGGTGGTGGTGGGAGGGTGGGGGGGTTTGTTTCTTCTTCCATATCTCTCAATCCTCTCTCTCTCTGTGTGTCCGCAGACAGCTTGCGCACGCCCGGAGTGTGTTGCAGGTCGACTCAGAATTAAATGAGTGTTGCGTCGAGTGCG